GTCAGGCACGCTGGTGACATACAAGCAGCAGCAAAACCCTGCTAATGAGGCTGGTATGAGATGCTATATTGCTCTGCTCTCTCAAATAGCTAGATTAACTGTGTGTTTTCTTATATCCTGGAATGTGGTCAATAGCAAACCAGGGGGGCACTGATTTTTAGTAAAACACTTCAGCAACTTACACAGGAATATTCTGTAGCAAGTTCTGAAGTGCTTTTCTGCTGTTTCCCATCCAAGTGATTTTCCACGGTGCGTTTGGTCAGGAGTTATTAACTGCAAACAGATTGAACTGCTGAGGACTCCTCCATCCAAACCCATGCTTGTCATTCAAATGCTCCAACATGAATCAAGTACAAATGTGAATTTTCACAGCCAGTGCAGTTCATTTGGAACAAGCATGCATTTAGCATTACACAAAACACAGCCGTCCACTCCTTGACAGTCCTTGCTTGTCCTGGTATTTTGAGGGAGAAGGGGGAGGACATTTATTCCTGCTGGTGAACTTTAAAAGTATATTTTCCTTTTAAATGCCAGCCTATTCCTTTTCCATGTGTGTTTCAAAAATATCTCTGACACTTTGGCTCAATACCCAGGTACTCCAACTGTTATTCTAAGATGGTGGAAATTAAAATTCTGTTGACTTCACTGGAGCTTTGCCAGTTTTTCTCAGAGGAAGATTTGATTTCAGAATATTTAGTGGAGCCTATATCTGACACATGCACTGCAGGCACTGTGGGTGCTGGGTGGTAGCTGTACTGATGCCAGTAGCTGGAGTGATTGGGAAAGGGAAATTCCACTGTGTAGCAAGGGTTGTGGTTCCACCCTTCTCATCTTTCTCATTGTCAACCTTCCATCTCATATGGAAATGATATATTAAAACTGTCTCTTGCAAAGGTGGAACTGTGTTAGGCTGTCCTTTTCTAACCCTGAGTGATGTACTAAAGGGTTGGAAGAGTGTCCTGACTCCAGGACCCTGATCACTTTGAGCAGAGCAGAGGTTTGTACCTTGGCCTCCTCAATTTCCTATTGGGGCCATGGTCTCAGGTCACTACATCCTGAAAGCATCTCTTTTTCACATCACAGATCTAAAAAAATATCTTGACTTAGTAAAATTGAAGCGCTATTTTTTTCCTACTCAGAAAGGCAGTCAGTGCCTCAAATTTTCCATGTGTTTTCCAAATGTATCATCTTTCCTATTAAAATTTACTGTGTCCCCTTCAATTTTTTTTATCCTTTAACACCTCTCATAGTTACACAAAAAAACAAAGAAAAAAAAAAACCACCAAAAAAACCCACAAAAGAAACAAAAAAACCCCACCAAAAACACAAAAAAACACACAAAAAAAAATCAGCAATTGTTCCAGCAAGCACAAAGCAATGGAACTAATGTAGGTTTCATGTCACAACAACTTGGGCATATAACTAATGAATCCATTTGTAAGATACCTGCTGACCTCCACAGACAAGTTGTTCCTGATCCTGACTTTATTTAGTTGTTCCTGTGCATAATCCCACTGCAGACACTGAAATAAATGATAAATCTCCTGTGGATTTCAGTGTGTGCAGGTTGAGGCCCTCATTTATTAAGGGTTTATCATTGCAAATTTGCTGAAAACACCAAACCCTCACAGCTCCTGTGGGCCTCATTTTCAGTCCTGCAGAGGCATCATAATACCATGTTTGCTATAGCTGAGTCATTCCCATGACAACAAATGGAGTCTAAAATACAACATTCTGACCTTGCTGTGTGATCAAACAAAACAGAGAAGCTGGGCATCGAAGACAAAAGTTCATTGAACACAAATACCTATAAACCCAGCAAGCAGGTGGGAGAGAAGCAGCAGATAAAGAGAAAATATTTCTCCTTCTCCAAAGTAACTGTCTCCACAGATTTTTCTAATGCTAGGATCTGCTGTGGTTAACCTGAGTATCCTCCTCTGCAGAAAGCTCAAAGGAGAGCAAATGAGAGCTTGTTAATAAATCCATTTTGCATTAATTCTTCCTGGAGGATGAGCTGTGAAAAGCAATACTATTTCACAGCTCCTTCCAGTGTATCTAAAAGCAAGTCACTTTGAGAAATGGGATGAGATTGAAATGTTATTTGAGTTATTAATAGTCTTTGCTATAGAAATCAAGGCAGAGTCAGTGAACTCCTCTGAGTCAAATCCTGGATTGGTAGAAGAATCAGAGTAGGAAAAACAGTGGCTAACTGGCAGTGTGGTCATCACAGGAAACCAGTGACAGGCCTGAGTGACCATAAGATACCTGCTGCCTGCGCTGTGGCAGGAGCAGAGACAAGGCACAACTGGAAACACATTTCCCACCAGCTCACAGGCAGAAAGATGTAACAGGGAAGAGACATGTTGCAGCTGGCCTGGCAATGAAAGAATGGTTTCAGATTGAAGTAGCTTTCAAAACCAATTCTAAAGGATTGACAGCAGTAAAACAGAAGTTTTAGGTGTTGCTAGGAAGACTGGTGGTCCTCACAACTGTGCCCATGAGAGGTGGATTTCTAAGTCCCAATTTGAGAACATTTTTGAGGATTGCAGTTGGAATGAACTATTGAACAGTCACTCTCAGGATCCTTCCCTGTAACAACATCAGCATTAAGACTTACTGTGCCTTAGTGGTTCAACAAAGAGCATGGTTTGAATGGCCCCAATGCAGAATTAACTCAGATTGGATCTTCCACTGACAGAACTACAGCTGTTAATATCTACAAACAAACTTGCTCATGGATTCTGGAACCTGGCAAGGGTCTTTTTCCTTATAGATAGGGCACTCCGATAAATGCATTTGTCATATTGCTGCATATTATGGATGCAATGAAGAATTAAGAATGAGAAATCTTAATTTCTCATTCTCATCCATAATGCATTTGTCATATTGCTGCATATTATGGATGCAATGAAGAATTAAGAATGAGAAATCTTTGTCAGTGGAAACAGAACTGTGGATGACAGTGTGCTGGTTTACACTGAACACACCAAGAAGTGGCTGATTCATGGCATTACAGAGACAAGCCCAGAGAGCTCCAACCTGTGGCTTCTGCTCTTGTGCATAATAGATTCAGCATTGTCTGTAAACACAGAGACCCTCCAGGCTTTGTTCAGCCCATAGCCAGATGATATCCACGGAGAGAGAGGATTTCAGGTCTAGACTAGAGAAGGGAAAGTCTCATTACAAGCTATGTATGCCTTGTACTTTGAGAACAGGTCACAGTAGGAGCAGGTGACACCTGCAAGGCACCCAGGTTGGTGAAGCTTTGATTTCATGGGTAAATAATCACTGTACCCAGGGAACTTGCCCAGTGGTGCTCAAACTCAGTCCCACTCACACCATGGCATGTAGACTTTGTCCACTGACAGTTCCAGTGTCCAGGGACCTGAGTTTTCCTTGGACTTAGAGAACAAATTACAAGCCAGGTACTGTGGGCCAGAAATGATAGAGCAAGCAGCTGTTGCTCTGCTGCCTCTACATCTGCCTGACACAATAATTAAATCTTATCAGCCATTCAATATAAAGGAAGCAAACCAACTACAACAGAAGGATTTTGCAGCACGACTGTCTCATGATGTGTAACTGCAGCTGTATATTTACCTTTGTAATTAATTCTGTAAGCATTTATATGGAGTTACAAGGGACTGAGTAATTTAGAAAGCAGTGGAAGAGATCATTAAAAATAGCAGAAGGCATAATTACTTTCTTCTACCATCAATCTCCTCCATATCTTTTCTGCTGATGTTTCCCATGGATAGTTTATATTCATTATATTACCTTCTTACCAAAATTATCTCAAGTTTCATTTCCAGGTTAGGAAAAAGGCAACAGTGCTATAGTGGGACAAAGACATTGCCTGTTAAAAGTCCCATAGTGAGCAGAAGCCCTAATTTTGCTGCAGGACTGACATTGCCTGTGACTTGAACACAATAAATTAATTTCCTTTTGTGGAAAACGTGGGCCCCACTTCTGGGGATGTTCTGTACTGACATTTATGATGTAGGCTGGCACCTAATGTAGCTGATTAAGAACTGTATTTATGTTCATTGTATAAATCTTTGCTTGATGAAATAAGTGGGTTATTGAGCCCTTTTTATCAGATTTCTTTTCAAGAGAGTTGATTTTTTTTTTTTTTTGGAAACTCACACAGTTCAGCTCATTGGCAGGAGTTACTCAGGAATCTTGCCAGTGGAAATCTCCCTTCTTAATTAATCTTTTCTGAATTCTGTAGCCATAGATATATTCTCTCCTGGTCATGCTAAACTAGATCAAACTTATGAGGTTAACTGACCTACTCTAGGTTTGCACCAGTATAGAGAAAGGTGGAAGAGGACTCCTTTGTGTCCCCCAGGGCTGCACAGAAATAGGTGTGGCTTTAATGTCTCCTTCACTATCAGTGTTGTGTTTCTCTCATTCCTTTGCATCACATCACAAAGTTTTAAGCTGAGCCTGGTAAGATATACTGAGGCAGGCTGCACTCTGGGGCCTTTTTTCTGACCTCCAGTCTTATAGAGCCCAAAGCCAGTGCATGGTCCTGCAGGGCCATGACTAGATGGATGAGCTGCAAATGAAGTTCCTTTGTGCTGACAGAGAGAAGCTGTTCCTCTCTTCCAGGCACCAGCACTCTCCTTTTGCTGATGGAGAGCAGCAAACCCAGACCTGTGCTGTATGGTGGCTGTGAGGGGACCAGTTGTCACCTTGGGTATGAACATGTGTGACCACCACTTTGGAAAAGGAATAATTTTCTTCTAGAAAGTCAGAAGTGTTTTCCTTCTAGAAAACAACAGTTTCCAGCAGGGAATTCTTGAAAATATTGAGATAATCTCCTAAAAGGCGTAATTTAACTTCAGTCACCTTCAGTGTGCCCAGCACCCAGGCTGGATCCTAGGCCAAGGACAACAGGGGCTGTTCTGACCTTCTCCCTGGCTGTTTGATGTATCTGAAGTAGACCTGCCCAGCAATGTCTTTTTCTGAGCTGCTCTTTGGTTTGTGTTTTCCAGCAGCGCTCTGGAGGCGTGTGCTCGTACCTGCACCGTGTGTGCCGCGCAGCGCTCCCCCTGCAACTGCTCCTGCTGCTGCTCCTGCTCCTGGCATTCCTGCTGCCCCTGGCAGAGGAGACCCACAGCTGCACGCTGGCCAACAACTTCGCTCGCTCCTTCAAGCTGATGCTGAGATACGAGGGCCCACCCCCGACATAACTCCTTGGCGCGGCACGAGGTGATGGCCGAAGGGCAGACTCTGTGCTTTTAACTGCAGATAACTAGTAGATGTTAGGCCTGCTAACACAGCCATGCCAACGGGATAGATCACGTAATGCAACATAAGATTAATCCACTTTAATCAGGTATTTGAGCAAAATTAATATTTTTACAATTTTTTATTATTGTATTTATAATATGTATATAGATATTGTGTATGTGTATGTATGTACATATATATATATATATATATATAAACACATATCTGTGGTCAAACTAACAACCACCATCCACTCATCCACTGTTTAAAGACAGTTCTGCAATGTTTCTGCCATCTTTCAGCAAGGAATACTGAAGGATGGTGTTGTGGGATTTTCTGGGTGATTTTTAACATCAGATTCTGGTTTACAACTGAAGTCAGCACAAGTATGAGAACATGTGGTCATGCACCAGGGTGTAAACTGGAGAGCAGGCACAGCAGAATCATGTTTGAATAGGGTGGTTGACATTCAGCCCAAGGAAGATTTGGACTATTCTCTTTGAAATCTTGAGCTGATTTTTCAGTATCTGGATACAGGGATTGCAGAAGCTCATAGAAATGTTTCTACTGACTTCAGTAGGAGTGGGAGTGGACCTCCTCTTGTTCTTATTTTTTACAAGATTTCTTCTCCAATTACTGTATTCTCCAGCCCACCTGAATCAGGAGAGGTGGAATACAGTGGGAATAAAGCTAGAAAAAAAAAATCTATTTTTTTAGCATCTCTCTAGCAGGAGAACTTTTAAAATCAGGTCATAATTTTCTGAACAAATTTGTGAGCACTGAACAAAACCTTGTATCACCAATCTTGTCTATAAAAAGAGTAGGTTTTTTGTTAGATTTTTGTGTTTGTGGGGTTTTGTGGTTTGGTTTGTTGGATTTTTTACTTTATAAAGAGGCATTTGGTAACGGATTATAAAGCCTGAACAGTGGGATGCAGCCTGGCTCAGTGTCAGTAAAGCAAAAGTTGGAAGTACTTTAATAATACCACCCTGGAAAGAAGATTCCTACCTAGGATTCTTTTGTATTAATGGTTTATTGAAATTGTGTAAACTGATTGTATCAAAGACAGTCAAGCATAGATTTCTATGTAATCTAAACTCTAAAATTATGACAACTTGTCATTTATTTACTTAACCCTATGTCTGATTTATCAAATTTTTGAAGGTACATTATACATGATGTAATGTAAAAGAGCTGTTCTCACTTCAGAGTGATGAAGCCATTCTTAGTGGTGTTTTACCTAATTGACCCCTGAGAGAAAAGGTAATTTCAAAAAATGTATGCAATTTCTGAGTGCTATCCCTTATTGTCTCATGGTTTTAGCTACAGTAGTAATTATGAAAAAAGAATTAACAGAAGAAACAGTTACTTTCCCTCTCCTGGCTATGTTGCAGAAGGAATTTCTCTTCTGTGTATCAGTATGGAGTGTATGTACATATATATATCATAAGGTCTAAAATAATATTGTAGCTGACTGATGGAAGAAGGCACTTATGTAACAAAATCATCAAAGTTCTGTTCAAGAAGCAAACTTGTGTAGAATCAGGAGGCATAACAGCATGGAGCTCAGTTTAGGCACAGGATTTGGAGAGCAGGCAGTGTGAAAGAGGAGCAGCTAAACATAGAGAGGAAAGGTGTCCATCAATTTGTAAAGCCTTGGAAAAGGAATCACAATTAAGCACAAAAGCACAGGTTCTATGGAGGAAAAAAATCTCAGAATCCTTTTGGCTCCCCTTCTACACTGTTGGTAATATTACATATTAAATGGCTTTTCTTCAGTTTTCAAGGTGTAAAATGGGGTGAGTAACAGGGCTTCTACCAGTGTTTTGAGGAGACTCTTCCACCACCAGGACTGTCACTGTGTTCCTAATGTTTCTGACTACTGGGTTTGCTAGTGTTGGATTAAAATGCCAGAAGTTTGCTAGAAATGTATAGAGTGGAAATTAAAGGAGAGACAGCAGGGATGGTGAAGGTACCACTCAAAGAGCAAGGGGAGCGTGAAACAGGAGCTGGCCTGACGTGGGTTAAAAACCTGGCTGTCAGGAGGTAGCAGAAGAGCTCTCAGAGCAGGCAGAAGGGACTGGAAGCAGGAAGGTGAGGAGGGTCCATGTGTGCTGAGCAATAAGACATTCACTTCAGGAAGTGAAGGAAGGCCTGTGATTTCTTTCATGGAGGAGCCACATGGAGGGGAGCTGTAATTTGTCAGAGAAGGGGGCATATTAATTCCTTCCTTGCAGCCATTCTTTCTGGTGGCAGAGGGCATACCTCCTCCCCTCCTGATTAGCTGTGCAAGTGCCTTGCACATTCCTGTAAAAATTGCTGCCAGCCCTGGGGGAAGAAACCCCTGTGGCTGCCCAGCAGGGAGTTAATCATCACACACATCTCCATGTCAAATTAAATCTTCCTTTAGAAAAGAAGTGTGGGGGAAGAGGGGTAGTAACAAAACCTGCTCTGTGTGGTAGTGGATGTGTGTAGGTGTGCACACACCTTTCTATGATCTAGCTACATTGCAGTTCTCTGGGTTTTGCTGAGCTGATCCAGGTAATGAAAGTAAAATACCAGTGAGAAAGTAAAAATAATGAAGAATAATAAAGCTGCAAATGGAAATCAGTAGGGAGATAGAAAAGTTTTTTTCTATGAAAGCACAAAATCTCACATCAGATTTCTTTCTGCCGAACCTTTCTGATCTGGGTGATTTGTATGGGTTCACAAATGCACTTGACACCATGGGAGTGTGTAACAGGGAGAAAAAAATTCTGCACAGAAGATCTTACAAGAACAACTGCATCATCACCTTGATGTTTCAGTGTGGTGGCAGGTTTAAAAAAAAAGAACCAAACAACTAAATTAGAAACACACTTTTGCTTCTGGGTTTGCAATCAGTTTTTTCTGTAAGTCCCCTGTCTGTAATCTTGGAAAGTTTTGCTTTAAATCTCAGTCAATCCATTCTCATTAACTTAAATAATCTGAATATCTCACAGAAGTGATGAATATTTCTACTTCTTTGAAATGAAAACTATCCAAAGCACAGGACTTTAATGTTCATATCACTGAAAACAATTTAAGTCTTCCATAATGTCATTTACCTCACCTGTCCAAGGCAGGTGTGAGATTTTTCTGGCAAAGAAAGGAAGAAGAAAATCACAAAAGTAAGCTTGAGATGTAAATGCAAAATTTACTGTCTTTTTTATTCTCTTGTGGTTTGTTGTTTGTTTTTTTGTTTTTTTTTTTTCTGAAAAGTTTGCAATACTGATTCCTGGAAGTGTGTGTAAATATTAATCAAGTTAGTAATTGGAATAATGAGTCCAGCTTCCAGGAAACTGTACAAAGATCAGATTCCTCAAAATACAAACTAAATCCAAAGGATTTAGTTTTTAAGGACTGGTTTCCAAACCAGTCCTTAAAATCTTGAGCAGAGTTCCTCATCTTTGCTCACAGATGATTTGGTGGTTGTATGCTCACTTTTGTGCCTATAAAATCCCCAGCTCATACATCTCTGACATCCAGATGTAACTGAGATGTGTTATAGCTCAGGTTCAGACTGGGGCCACTGCCTTAAGCCTCCCCTTGCCAAAACATGGGATGCACAGAACCCTGGATGTGTCTGCAGCTGAGGACTTTCACTATTTTGCCCCAAAGCAGATGCAGCCACAGTCCAAGGGTGCTAAAACCCTCTGAAACAGATGGAGCATGTTTGAGATTGTGAGGGTTTGTGCACACCTGGCCTGCACTCCCTGCAGACACCCAGCCTGTTCACAGAGCTCTGTCCCAGCTCCTGCCTGCACTGTTGGACCCAGGGGCTGCTTGGCCACGCTAATGACCCTGCAGTGCTGAAGGCAAAATCCTGCACTCCATTGCCCATGCATTACAGTAAGGCATTACCCAAAGGCACACTCCAAACCCAACCTTTGGCGGGAAAGCAAGCCTCATTTGTAAACTGTAATTGATTTTGAAGCTTGATGCTTTCCAGAGAATTTTCCATGGCAGCAAGGTAGAGGCATTTTCCAGGTACTGAGGTAGAAAATTGCTATTGTGCCCCATGTCTATTAACAGCTCTTTCTCTGATTCCAGCCAGCAATTTAAATGGTATTAAATATTATTTATGTATGCCCTCACCAGAAATACTGGTAGAAAAAACATCTTCAGTTCTAAGCACATACATTTAAAATGTTGTATTCCTCTGCTAGCACTTGATCTCCAGAGCAGTCATGATTTCTACCCAGTGTTACTTTATTTGTGCTGACCAAGAGACTTAGAAGACTCAAATATTTGAGGCTGTAAATAAAGCTACTATCCTAACTAATAAAACCACCTAGAGATTACTGAATAATTTGGACAGCTTTTAGAATAGCTTAATGCTTCTCCTTAATCCCTTTTGCTGGAGTATTTGTAGACCTTGGAGAGAAGAAATGTCTCCAAAAATTGGCCATTCCTAGACAGACAGATGGTGATCTCTGCACATCAGAAGAAATAGTATTTTCTTTTTAGTTGCTCTAGACCTCAGAAGTTTGCTACATCTGATCTACTTTTCTTTATTAAATAGGGAATGTTTTACTTTGATGTGTGTGCATACACATCTCATTAGCACTAAAGAGATTTGAAGAGCGAGTTCATGTACAATAATTCTTTTAACTTGTGTCGACACAAGAGAGTACATTGTCCTCTTTTCTTTAGGGAAAAAACCAACCAAAACTGCTGTGTGACAGAGATTCCCAGACCAAACAAAGCCTTTTGGAATAACTGAATATTACAAACTGAATATTACAGACTGAAACAAAATTGTTCACCAGAGGAAAATGGAAAAATAGTTTGCCTTTCAAGAAATGCTGCTGTAAAACCCGCAATGAACATGTCTTTGCCAGGCATCATAGATGTCTTTCAAGTCATAGGTTATGTACTCAGCTGGATGTAAGAGCTGCTTTTGGAGAGTTGACAACCCCATGGACAGTATCATTTGCTAGGGTGCAGCTGAAAACACATTTGTCCAGAGAACCTACACCAGCTTCTGCCAGAATCACTGGGGGCTGTTGGGGATGTTCTTAGCAGCTCCCAGACCACTGACCTGCTCTGAGCCATTGCAAGTTTATTGCATTAATTTATCTGTCAGAGGTTAGCAGCTCTCAGAAACCAGTTTATTAAAATACTAAAGATAATATTTCTGGTGAAGACAACATGATTCATTGAGAAATCAATATTATTACTTTTGCCATATTTAA